CCTCTCAATTGCAAGTGGAACATTCATTCTAAAAGTACAGGACCCTAAGACGAGGCGAAAGAAGACTGGCTTTGTAGTTGAAGTAAAAGTCGTACAAAAGTTAGTTCAATGCCAGTGTTTTATTGACACTATCTATAACTGGTAGTTTAAAAGCTGCAGAAACAATGAAGGCCGAGTTGACATATGCATTTCAACGTTATTACTCGTTCGATGTGTCGTTTTGGTACAGGTGCAAGCAACTTTATCAATTCAATAAGATACGCCACTTGCTTGATGAAGAGCTGAAGTTGATGTCAACTCCTCATTTCTGTGACGTCTATTCGTTTCAGGACGATATGCTACTGTGGTCATTTGACAAATCAACAACGTACAACATGTTGTTCGGAATAATGCAATATTGTAAAGCACAATTAAAACAGATTTTTTATGAACTATGAACTAACTTCTTTGATAGGCATTTAGAAGTTGGAGTACTAAGTAAGGATCAGAATTTATGGATGAACAACATTGACAAATCGTTGATAAATTGTAATAAAGAAGTTGTTCATCCATAAATTCTTATCCTTACTTAACTATGAACTAGAAATAATACATTATGAAATAAATAGACCCTTATCAAAGAGCCTCATGCGTAAATGCTAATCTGGTTTCATTATAGAATGTCCTGTTTCAAAGGTTCAACATATGTGTACGTTGTACAGAGTTATCAATAGCAATTTGATCCTGAAACATATACATTGAAATTGTCAAATATGGTGTCGGATAGAAACTCCCTTTGAAGAGCCTGAATGATATCTACATTCTCTAATTTCTCTGAGGCACTTGTATTTAGTCTAAGTGTTAGTCTCTTTTTTCTTATGTAAAAAAAAATCCAGATTGGACCACGTGTCTGCTTGTTATCCACCACCTGTTACAATACTGTTACCCACATACTTATATTTTACTTAAGTCTTAATTAACGTCCCAAGGCGATAGACATGATATGTTTTTTTATCTTCTTGGAGAGAAAACAAAAGTCATCTTCACCTGTCATTCGACTGACTTCACTTATCCTGTAACGCAGTTTTTATGAGATAACACAATTAGGATCACGAAGGGCCCTTTTTTGTCCGTCAACCAAACCCACACCAGGTGCAGCTTTAGAGAGCACTGTGTAATTTAACAGATTGGGTATGTTAGCACACCAGTACGTCTGAAATTCTAAATGTCAATACCATGTGGAAATGCCTCTGGAAATTGAGTGTCAATGTTTGCACCAATCTAGCAAGAGAACTTAACGTAACTACCCTGTTTTAGATTCAAGGTGTAATGACTAGACCCTACTGGTTTTATGAAGTGTCTTGGTCTGGGTTTATGTTAAAGTGCTCAGGCAATATATCTGGATTTCAACGTTCCCAAGTTCTCAATCCAATTTCCATCACTGCAAGCTTGTGATAATGTGATGGTGATCACAGACTTTGCTTGTACATGAATCTCTACCACGCGCAACCGTTGCTAACATTTGTATCTGCTTCTGAAATATGAGAAAAGTCTTTCACGGCCAGCTTTCCTTCCTGGTAAAGGTTCCCATGGGAACAAGTCGTGGGAATCAGCAGATGATACAAGTGAGTAGAAACTATATCTTCTACTAAACTTTACTTGCTTTTAGTCAAGTAGATAGAGGCAAGAACATGATTACACGGATTCTTTTAAAGTTTATTGCTATTATTAAAAGCCACAAAATCCGTTCCATAACCATAAGAAACCACTGCTAAAAGCAGACTCAGTTGTACGATTCCAACTGTATCATAAGCATGTACCTGGTATTCGCGAAAAGGTGAGCGTATCCTGCCCCACCGCTGGCATCCGTCACAAACTCATATAAAGGCAAGGCAAGTGCTCATAATTGTGAACATAAGTGTTTAATGGTACAAGTCTTTTTAAAAAGGGAATTGCTTCGGGATATAATTTTGGTCACTGATCTCACATAGACCTCTACATGTCTACCGGAAAACATACGGAAAACTTTACTAAGACCTTGTATGCTGTAATCCTGATCAACTAATTTTTTAGCAAGAGTCGTATGACGGTCTGTGCAATTTTCGTAGAAAGAACACGCTCGATTGTACCTCAAAAGGATGTGAAATGGAGACTGCTGGAATAATGCTGGACATAAAGGGAAAGTTGACAAATGGAAAGTTGAAGTCATCCCTCTTGTCATACAGTCTGGTGGATACATTTTCTGTATCTAAATCCTAACATTCACTCCACTATACTGTAAAACTAGTACTATCTAGCTCATATTGTTCCCATATTCATCGACATTCTGCCAGTACCACATCCGTGCTCATTGATGTCATCATAATGGTAAACGTAACCGGGCCTACATCACTTTGGGCTTTCGTTTGACATTGATGCATTTTCAAAGGGTACCATTTGTAAGACATTTAAAACTGTGTTGAAACTGTAACCTTACTTTCATATTTTTCCTTGAAATAGATGGAGAAATTTATTACGTATTAGATAGTGTATTCATTGCCTTCCCATTGAGGTTGGACGATGGAACTGTACCCCTCCCACAGAAAAGAAATGCAGTTAATGTCACCTCTATTGCCAACCTAAACTCTGTTAAACTCTACCTATATATATGTATGTTACGTCATGTTCAATTAATCCATCAATCATGTTAATACTTTATATGCCGTTATACGCGGCCTGAAATGCAATAGTTATGTTCTGCCCCATATTAAGCTCTCACGCCATGATAAGACTGATGTAAAGTGGAATTAAACCCATATACTCACTCAATCGAATATTCCAGCTGTGTAATTTACGAAGTCGAGAAACTTATTTATAATTACACTGTAGGACTTCTACACTGAGTCGATATTCGTTAAGTCGTCAGCAGTTTATGGTCGGAACTAGTTAACAAGGGTTAAGATATCATCTTAGGACCAAGTTGAAACGAACCAATGCAAATATGATCCAGTGGAAATAGAAAACGTGTTGAATATGAATATGTTTTGAATGATTACTTGAATGACCTAACGGTAATGCCATTTTCAAAGAATACTCATATCCAATTGATCTCTCAGTTTAATTTTCAAATTCCTTGTTTCCATTTTCTGATATTCAGGCAAAGGACCACGGTCGTATGAGGAATCTTTACAGAAGTAATTACGTGCTTTGAAATGCAATGAAAACGATTGCATGTAGCCGTGATCCCTTAATATGCAACGAAGATTAACTTTGAAGTTTAAGAAGGTTTTGGCGCAACTGATTTACTTTTGACAACATGCGACCTGTCGTGCAATGTCAAGCCTAATTTACTTCTTTTTTGAAGAATTGGTAAATTGACTTTAAATCTATGATGCCTGTATGGTATCGGTGATATATCGATTTCATATTCAAGTGTACGTGTCTGTGCTTAGAGTATACCCTTGGGTTAACCAGTGACCACGATTGCAAATTACTAGACATTCTTAATATCAATAACATTTTCCCCCATTGGAAATGCATCCATAATATCCTGATTCTGTGAGAGGTCATGGATGATTACAGCTTTACAGTCGGTGAGTGATCATGTAATCTTAGCTGAGGTTCTTGGAGAAGCATAACTTTATAATACTCGTGACGTACATAACCATAAAGATTACTTTAACCTGTATAATTCATTTTACAACAGTGTTGTAGAGAGAATAAAATGTATTTATTTTCAATCTTTATCTATGATACCGACAAATACTGTATGGGACCATGGTCTATTATCGACACCCAACTCAAAAACTGAGGAAAACTACGATACATTTTCAAATGTACACGTGAATTCGTCTTAATGAGGTTTAAATGTCCTTGTGACATTTTAAAATGGACTTTCTCACTTACGTCCCAATCGACACACAACTAATAATAAATAAATGAGGCAATTCACGTCATTTCCTATTTTCACTGCAGCACGTTAGCACACTTAAACTCTTAACAACACTGAAGGAATTCTAAATAAAGCTTTTGCCAAATTTCTTATTTAAGGAGACGAAGAACTGGAAATTAAATGAAACAATGGACGAAATGTGTTCAGAAATAATCTCTCCTGAATTGATTGATTGTGTGTTAGTGTTGCGCTACTTTTTCATATCCCAATGCAAGTAAACCCCTTAAAAAGTGCGTATCACAGCCGTCAGATGAACGGGGTTGAAGGGAGTGTGTAATTTATCAAAACAACAATTGAGAAATACCCTGTCGTTCCAATAAGGTCGTGTCAAAACATTTACTCTCAGAAGTGGAGTCGGGTTGCTACTTGGCGTTCTTCTGCAGGATGCAAGGAGACCAAAATACTCTCAACTTGCCCATCGTGTTAAGTTAGACTACACAACTCTCTGTAGATTTAAAGTGAACCACAAACTGATACAGGGGACTGAAAGGATACGGACTGTTATTGATGTACATTACATTCAGGCGGTCTAAAACATTCAACACGGTAAAAGATTAAATTTAATTTGTCTGTGTTGGAGCAAAATAACAAATATGTCTACAGAAAGTGATCTATCTACACTCTAGTTTTGTAAAGTATATCTACAAAGATAATGGAATAAAATCAACTAAGTCCTCCAGTGAGATATCAGCGTGTATGGCAGGCAGCACGAAACGCAGAAATCAATAAGAACGCACCTTTAACATGGAGAATGTTTCGTGCAGAATCAGCAATATTTTATCCATCCTCAGGGAGACCAATTCTTGTTTTGTGTAAAAGAGGTCTGGGTCTGTTTAAGAGATGTTTTTTTATGGTATATGTGTGTGCTTATGGCATGGAAGTTAACCAAAAAATCTGTACTGATATGAAATAAGAGGCAAGATATGCAAGTTTAATGATGTGGTGTTAATATTTTGGGTATATGATGACATTATTCACATATATGTTTATATATTTATCAACGATCTCTCGGGGAGTCTCCCTAACGTTCCTCGTTAACTTTACTCTTGCTCCATATTCAAGTTCATCTTTCTGGAAAAGTCCTCATCAAGTAACACCCGTGTCTTCAACTTCGTTTTTCGCAAGGTGTGTTTATTAAAGGGAGACGACGTTCAAGCAAATTGACAGTCCTTTGCTTGCAAGCTTGATTCAAATCCCACACACGTGTTTGCCTGCAACCAAAAATGGATTATTTACATCAACCGAATAGTTGATGACCATGTTTACACAATGTTTCAATGACTGACAATGTCCCAGTGTCAGGGTGCACGAATTGTCCAGACCTACATGTAATTTGCAGTTGGGTACCAAACCTCTTTAACGCGACCCGTTCAAGATGTATATGTAAGCAACATAGTAATAAGGCTCCTTGCATAGCGCACTCCATTCCGTGTATGATCAAAGCGCGAAACCATTATTACCCCGAATCAGTGTACTATCGATTTCCATTCTCATCTCCCTGGGGAGAATACAACCCATCCTGCCTGTGAGGCTATAGGAGGTTGGCAGTAATTTTTTCCATCTCACCCTACCGGGTACCCATTCACTGCTTAGTGAACAGAGGCATATTTCGGAAAAAAATCACTCGCCAGAGACAAGTGACAAGAGACATGTGGCATGTACTTGGACAATACCAAAGCCCAAGAAACTTCAAGTGTTCAAGGTTCCATCCACCTACACTCCGTGACCAAAGTGCTTAAATATGCTTGTTCACATGAACACGTGGCACAAGTCAAAACAACATATACGTGGTACTGGTTGAATACGTATATGATGTTGATTGTGTATAAACACGTTCTAAGCATTGACAGTATTCTGTATAGACCTGTACATTCACGTCTATACACATACATAAACGATGACGTTTCAAATGATCTTAATTTAATTGTCATCTCAACTTTACATACAATGTAGTTCACATGTATGCATGTCTCTTTACTGACTGTAATCATGCAATTCCATGCTGTTATGACTAATAATCCAGCCCCCATGTCAATAAACGGTCGTAAAACAAACACAGACACACTTTCTAAACATTTTATTTGATACTTATAACTCTGCGCAGTAAGCATCGTGTCGTATATCATTTCTAGAAGGGATCCTTATTTTCACAGTAACTACAAAAAAACCAAGGTCTCACTTAAATAGATTCCCCAACAACTGTTTATACACCTCGGTTCCAAGGTAAATATGTATCTCTTCTCCCCATCGCCTTTTATCTCGTAAGAGTTGCATGATCAGGTAGTTCTTCCAAAACATGCTTGTTAATGTGTGAATTATGAGCCCCGAGGGACTTCTCGTTTCACGCTACAGCGTCATCTAACACTCTGTGTGCTTACAACATTATCAGCCCTGTGTGCCAAACTTGTGTACTTCCTCACATATTTTTAACAGCTTGGCAAACATGAACGATCGATTTTTGATATAGGAAGAGATCAGTTTGCAGACTCTTCGGTACATTATACCCTAAGACAGGTGCATAGTTTCATATTCTTTGTCATCAGATATGCATTCAGTGGATGGAGTTGTCGCAGTTTGAGAAACAATTTACAATTCAGTAGGGTGTGTTTGGTTCCAGGCTGCTTTACTTGAAGCACATTTGGAGTGAAATGAAGAGAGCTTTCAACTAGTCTAGACTATTGTCTACGATTCCCCTTTTTGAGATTGGGCCACAATTACATAACCACTACGCATATAGAGAAGAAACTTGGATATCAAGAGAATCATATAACGAGAGCATACATATATTGCACCACGAACCTGTCATATTGCATTATGATGAAGCTTGAGGCGTATATAAGCTCATACAAACACGATTGGTTTAGGATTCAGTACAAATTGTACGATATGAATGCTGCAATATATCAATCACTCTGGCCACGCGCTTCCATTGATTCCATTATCCATTTCATTATCTTCATTACTCATTATGTTCATTATGTTCGTTATGTTCATAATGTTCATTATGTTTATTATGTTCGCAATGTTCATTATGTTCGTTATGTTCGTTATGTTCATTATGTTCGTTATGTTCGTTATGTTCAAAATGTTCATTATGTTCATTATGTTAATTATGTTCGTTATGTTCAATATGTTCGTTATGTTCAATATGTTCATTATGTTCAATATGTTCATTATGTTCGCTATGTTCGTTATGTTCAATATGTTCATTTCGTCAGTATGTTCGTTATGTTCATTATGTTCAGTATGTTCGTTAGGTTCATTTTGTTCGTTATGTTCATTATGTTCGTTATGTCCGTTATGTCCGTTATGTTCGTTATTTTCAATATGTTCGTAATGTTCATTATGTTCGTTAGGTTCATTTTGTTCGTTATGTTCGTTATGTTCATTATGTTCATTATGTTCATTATGTTCGTTATGTTCATTATGTTCAATATGTTCGTTATGTTCATTTTGTTCATTATGTTCATTATGTTCGTTAGGTTCATTTTGTTCGTTATGTTCATTATGTTCGTTATGTTCATTATGTTCATTATGTTCGTTATGTTCATTATGTTCGTTATGTTCATTATGTTCAATATGTTCGTTAAGTTCATTATGTTCATTATGTTCATTATGTTTAGTATGTTCGTTATGTTCATTATGTTCGTTAGGTTCATTATGTTCATTATGTTCATTATGTTCATTATGTTCGTTATGTTCATTATGTTCAATATGTTCGTTATGTTCATTATGTTCATTATGTTCGTTATGTTCAGTATGTTCAGTATGTTCATTCAGTAGACAACTGGCTAAAACGCAAGCGTGGGACACCGGAAACCCGGGTTCGATTCTCCAGGTACAATGTGTGAAACTCATTCTTGGTATTCCCTGATAGGGCTAGAATATTGCTAAAGGCGGCGTGAAACCATACTCGTTCACCCTCTGACCCATACCCACCCACTCTCACTTTCGCTGTCACACTCACTCACTAACTTTTTTTTATCCAAATGTCATAAAACAAGAGAATTATATTTCTCCAAGGACACACAACTGTGAAGGTCACCTAGCTGGACGTTAATGTAAGGAGAACCACATCACGATGATTGACATCCAACATAATTACCATCATCCTTATGTTCAGGGATCTGGATTTTTCATGTTGCAGTATTAACTATCCTGTTCTGTTGCACTGCAGTGGGTGAACTCAAATATTGGAGATACGCATTCCATCGACCAACCGTTAAGGATGATGAAAAGGTTTCATATTGTTTAAATGTTACGTAAAGCTACACGCTGTAGGTTAATATTAAGGCCAAAGGTCTAAAAGCAATGGATCTCTAGGAACGCCTGTAGGTGCTACTGTAGGCGACGTTTAGTCCACAGACTTTAATCTTCCTCTTCGATCACTCTGATATAAGTAGGGGTAGACAAAGTTAGGAATGAAAACAGCTTAGTTTGATGTTACTAACATGACTTCTGCGTGGTGTTGAACCAAGGGTGCAAATGAGCGTATTCTTCGTCTTCAAAGATGCCCTGGCAATGTCAGTATTGTGTGAAGAAGACCCGACCCTGTAATCAAATTCACATAGACGACGAGAATAAGATTGAAATTACCCTCGTTCAGTTGGGCCATTATCCCCAGGGAAGGGCATCGACTCAAATTCAAATGTAATACAGACTTGCAACAAACAAACATTTGCGGCCCAAATTGTGGAACCCCATGTTCAACAGGGGGCTGATGTTCGTGTATGCTGCAAAAGAACATAGCTATCCCTCGGCTTAAGCTTCTGTTTCTAAGCCTCGTTACCAGCACTGCGTAAATTCAATATGATATCACAAACCTAACATATCCTCAGCATTTCAATACGTCTCAGAGAATGTTAATTTCAAAATGACCAGGCCACCGGACATTGCATTATGCACCACGTCGATAAACAAATTCTGTAGCAACCACTGTGGCTTTAAGGGAAGTACAGATAACGCTTACTTTTAAATCCGGGTAATCTTGTCATTCATAATTCGCTATAAATAGTATTACCAAACATCACACAATTATTGATCACGTGTAAAACAACTAATATACTAAAATGACGCAAATGATGATGACAAACATAGCTTTCATCGCCTGAGCGTGCCGTTTATGTTCATGCTGATGCTGGATTCATGATATATATTATATTTATGTACATGTACTTAATTACAAGATACATTTTGTATGTGGCTATAGCAGCAATGTTCATGTTGTCTGTGAAATGAAACGTAAATGTCTTATGGTTATTCTTGTTGCCAAAATGTAGGCCACAAATTCATAAAATTCTCTGTGTGAATTCTTTCTTTGAAGGTTAACCCTGGCGTTTCTGTGTTTTAGCTTCTACCAATCATAGTCTTTTGGTAATAAGCAAAGCTTGGAACATTTTGTTTGATAGACAGTCCCTACTCAACATTTTCCAATGCAGTTGAATGACATGATTGACGTATAAAACCCACCGATTGCAATTGTCGATGACGCAATGGGACGTCTTTTATTTTGGTAAATGGTGTTTTTTCTAAAGATCTAATTATCTAAATTGTGAGCCTCCAAAGATTATATAAAAAATGAAAGTGGATATTTCAATTTAGCGATTGCTGTTCTCAATTCAATTAAATATAAATAAGTCAGGCTCTCTGAGTTCCGAGTGGATTATGTGTCTGTAACCACTTCCTCAGGCGTCTGAGTGAATAACATATTTGTATTGAGTTTCACATGTCTTCAGTGACCTGTGGCACCAACAGTTCCAGCCAAACATATTACATCACTTTGGCTATATAATTGAATAAAGAATGTCACTGAAGTCTCAAGGCGTTTCAGTCCATTAGTCTCTGAGTTTTCGATTATTGCAAAAACGACGTTGCGTGTTTAACAAACATAGTTCTATTCCAGACCAGAGATTCATGTAATCAGTTGAGAAAGATATCTGCTTTGTGACTTATTTTATTGTTCGTATCTTATAAAGATCAATGCTATGAACATAATTGATACTGTTCTAACAGAATGATATTTATTGATTAAACAATGTCAGAGATTAATTGTCAACTAAGCATGTCGGATACTTTTTATTGTACACATTAAAAAGCCCGAAACATTACACACATAATCATATAAAGGGATGGCATAAATTGAATGGAAAATCAATGGTCCTGCATGTTTAACAGTCATGTAACACCAAAGGGAAAAGGGGAGTGAGTGTTG